GTGAGATTAGGTCTCCAGCCCTTGTTCAGTGTTCTGTAGTGGTTGATGGTACCCAGGATATTTCTGGTGTTGAGCAGGAAAGTGTCTGTCTGCGCTATGTGGACCATGACCTTGTTCCACATGAGGAATTTATTGGATTATACAATTTGTCAGAGACAACAGGCCAGGGCATTGCCAAGATGATAACTGATGTGCTGTTAAGGCTTAATCTGCCCATGTCTGCTTTACGTGGTCAGAGTTACGACGGTGCCTCAAACATGGCAGGAAAGTACAGCGGTGCACAGGCAATAGTGAGAGAGCAGCAGCCATTAGCCCTCCATGTGCATTGTGGTGCACACTGTGTCAATCTGATCACACAGGCTGGCTGCTCAGCCTCCCCAATGATCCGGGACTGCCTTTCTTGGGTACATCAGTTAGGAATCCTTTTTAGCCAGTCAGGAAAATTTAAGAGAATGTTTGAAAACATAGTTACCTCTGAAAATGCACCCATCACTACATTGAAACCTCCATGTCCAACCAGGTGGACTGTGCGCAATTCTGCTATAATAGCTGTGCTAGGGCAGTATGAGCGGGTACTTGGCAGTCTAGAGGAGATGGCAAAAAGTACATCTAGGACAGCTTCAACTGCCAGTGGCTTATTTGAGCACTTCAGCAAAGGTAAGACTGTGTTGGGCCTCACACTCGCTTCTGCTGTTGTTGGAGAGCTTGAGTGCCTAAACATTTCACTGCAGAAGAAGACCCAGACTGTCTCTGGTATGAAAGCTGCAGTAGATTGTGTCCGATCCTCTCTTCAGGGAAAGAGAAATGACAAGAGCTATCTTGAACTGTATGAGAAAGCTACAGCATTGGTTAACTCCACTGAAACAGTTGACTCTATTGATGCTACAAATTCAAGGCGTTTTGCTGGCAGAGCAGTGGATCATTACAGGGGAGAGTTCTTTAAAGTGTTGGATTGTGTGGAGGTTCAGTTTGGTGACCGTTTCAATCAAAACAGTCTAAAGACTCTGCAAAATATACAGAGTGTCCTTCTGACCGGGGTAATAACTGATGCGATATTTGAGTACCCTGAGTTGCATAGAGGTACTCTCTCAGTACAGTTGCCCCTCTTTCGCCAGAAATACCCCTGTAGCAGCAGTGCAGAGGCAGCAGAGGTCCTCAGAGGAATGCCAGTGGAGGTGCGGGGGTTGTTTGACCAAGTTGAGGTTCTTGTCAGAATTTTGTTGGTGGTGCCAGTGTCCTCGTGTGAAGCTGAGCGGAGCTTCAGTGCATTGCGGAGACTGAAGACGTGGCTAAGGGCTACAATGGGCCAGGACAGACTCAACAGTCTGTTAGTCTGCAATGTTCACAAAGACAGGTTGGATAGCCTTAACACAAACAAGATATGCCAAGAGTTTGTGGGGCCCAGTGATACCAGGAAAAACACATTTGGTTCTTTTGTTTAGTGCCTGTCCTCTTGTCATGCAAGTTTGATTTTAATTACATCAAATGTTTATTACTTAATATAGAGCAGTGACTATAACATAATATTTTCATGTTACAAAATCAATTCATTTATTTTACATGGGGGCACTTTCACAATATTGATGTTTTTCATTACTTTTCAATTTAAATTGAAAAATTATCGTTTTAATTTAGCTTTTAGGTGAAGGTTTTTGTTAATTGAAGTAACTTATTTTTATTTATTACTCCCCCTCTTTCTATACTGATCTCACTATACAGTTGTGTGAGTATGTCTAAGAGTGTAGTCATGCCTTTATTTGCTAGGCATGGTAAATGTTTTTATGTATGTTTTAATTATAACTGTGAAGCAACAACATTGCTAATAAATGTGATATATTAATAAATAAAAGTTGAAGTTAAGTTCAAATTCCATTGTATTTTGGTGGCTTGATTGTTTGAACAACTTATTTACAAAAAAAATTATGGTTTTGAAAAGTTTTTTGGTCAATGTAGTCAGTTTATTCATTAAACCAGAAAGAAATTTTAAGAAGTATAATGAAATGGTCTCCATGGTAAACTAATAAGTAGTAAGGGTTTCCTCTGTATTCTTTTGCTTGTATTATTGGTGTCCCCTTCAAAATTTGCTCTTGAGAATTGTTATGTTTATTGTCCCCCCCCAACATTTTGATGAAATTTTCGCCCCTGTGTGCAAGGAGCCACTGTAGTGACAGATGCCACAATTTGTGCTTGCTGTCTGTCCCTATCTGAAACAATAATACTACTACTTAGGAGAACTAAATTAAAATAAATTATCCATCTATTAAGAATAATTAACTAGACGTTTTTATAGGAATATATCATTATAAGCAAAATCAAAGAAATGCATTGATTTTTACACTTTTAAGGGCATTTTCCCCGTCATTTTCTGTCCTTGCTGTGAAGCCTACAGACAAGAATATAATATATTTCAATTTTCCAATTTGACTATGAAACATACTGACTTCTGTACGCTATGAGTGGAACCATCCTTAAATTAAAATCTTATGTCAAAAAAAAACCTCTTCATAATATATGAATAGGCTACTCTAATGTATATTTAATAATACACAATGGGCTGCTGAACATGAGACATAGACTATATCTGTAGGTGTGCATGAATGAACTAAGTAAATGACTAAGTAAGTGTAACTTTGAATGTCTTAATGAGATGTCTGTCTCTAGGCTTTGTTATGCTGAAAGCTCAGTGTGTGGAGCTGTCGGCTCCGCAGAGGTTAGAGTCGAGCCTTCAGCCCTCGTCTGCATCACAAAGACACACTAACAAAGTGTCGAATGACGATTGCTCTCAATTTTGCACCAACTTGTCGTCGAAGCCACCATTAAAACTAGTTCCAAATCGCCAACTCACCATGTCCGGTTTCCAAAGCTTTTAAAAAACGGAAATAATATTAAGTTTTCCTGAATTTAAGCCTTTCAGGTCCTGTATCTGATGTCTTTGTTTCAAGTTACACAACACTTTAGGAGGTGTTTTAATGGCACACTAATATACTAGTAAGCTATACTCTCGAACAGAGAGACTGTCTTCAAATAAACTCATTACGGAATTAGCAAATAATTTCCAGTAATACGAACAACGAGAAAGTTCAGTTTAGTACACCAAAACTTTAAAAGTAAAGCGAAGCAAGCAAACACGCGATTCTTCAATAAAGGCAATTGCAAAAGCATAGATCTTACCTTCACAACGCGTTCATAAAAGCTGGAAGAAATTACGAAAGCCTCTCAGACCTCAGTCCCGTCGTGTAACGAACAGCGCGCATCCTCCGTCTAGATGCAACTTCATCAACGTCATGCAATGTTTACGATCGAACCGTAGTCGTGCTGGATCCTTCCTGCTTTCGCGTGTGTGGGTGCATGGGATAGGATAGGCCTGCAGTAGGAGGAGCACACACACGCTCCCATTAGCGCTTCATTTCCTACGCGCACGTTCCCGTGAGTCATTCCACGAAACCGGTACGATTTGGACTTACACATTTTTGGATTTTTTACCAACATGTATTACTTTTCTGAACACCCCACAACATTAATGACATATTTAACTTCCAGAAAAACATATTTTCCCACCTCAGGCATTAAATACTTTTTATTATTGGTAATTATTGTAAGATATGAGCGCTATTAGTCTTCAACCCCGTTATGGACAATATGGAAGCTCTCTGAATATAATTATAAAATATATTTGTAATGAAATCAACATTTTCCTATTAGTCAGATGTCCCTCACTCTAATTCAATTATTGCAAATGTAAAATGTACATATCATTTTATGCTATACTAAAGCCTGAAATAGGCACTTTTTGTGACAGCAACCTCATCATTTTTGATCAAAGATGTGGCTTAACTTCAGAATTTGAAGTATTCTTATGTATTCAGTATTCTTATGATAGCTCTGAAGATTTCAGACTGAGTTCAACAAACAATAATTTACTTTTTCATAATCGTAAAAAAAAAATTCATAAAAATAGGTGTGACTGGGTTGAGACTAGGGTAACAGGGTTGAAGATGGTAACGGGGTTGAAGAGACAAATACAGCTTCACATATGAGTAGTTGTTTTTTTACTCAAATTCACTGTAATATTTTCTATAAGCACTGTATTTTATTATGTTACCAAGAAAAACAACAGATATAAATTGCAATTGCAACTCAGTTTTATTAACCCGACTGCAGGAAAAACAACAATAACGTAGTATACATTAGAACATTATAAAATGACTGAAATAGGTCATCAAAATAAAACCTATAACTTGTGTGCTTTTTTGATGTATGTGTGGGTGTGTGTGTGTGTGTGAGTGAGCGTGTTTGTGTGGGGTTATTTTTACATGTGCGCATGCTTCGTGGCAAAAAAGTAACGGGGTTGAGTGTGACAGGGTTGTGATTTTTTGCTAAAAATGGCCACTGCTCCATATGTTGTGAATAACAGGAGAGCAAATGGAATGCATGATATTAAGAAATCATGTATGCTTTTGAAATAACAAAAATCTTTTTCACAAGTAATAGAATTCTATCTTTATTTGATGTAACGGGGTTGAGCCGTTAAGCTTGACAACCACAATATCACAATTCTAAATAAGTTATAGTTATAAAAGTAGTTGGTAACTTGCCTGTGTCTGCACACAATGTTGTTCAGAAGACTTCTGTGATGTTACTTCCTGTTGTTGATGTTACATAAGGATCTTGTAACGAGTAGAAATATGGTGTGACCCCTTTAAGAATCTGTGACGGGTGATAATAGGGTGTGGCCCCTTGAAGAGCTACGCGCTCCTGTTAGAGAGTCGGCATTATTGGTATTCTATGTGATATATGCCGTGTGCCTCGAACACCCCCATGTGTGTAATTTCTGTTTGATGCCGACTTTTATATTACTTTTACTTTGCTTGTTAAGTAACGATGTGGATGGGAGGACGTGCAACAGATAGTTATATGCACGAGTTCGATGTGGAATAAAGCACGAGTTTTGAGATGCATGTCGACTCCGTGAAATCTGCCTGGCCTCCGCACGTAATATCTTCAGTCGTGAGTTATCCATCTCCTTCTTCCTGAAGCAGCGCGTTACAAGTGGCGCCCGAACATTTTATCTCTGGCCTTGGATTTAACGCGAGGACACGGACGACGGACCGGTTTGTGACGGACGGCTCCGAAAATGCTGTGAACATCCAGCCAGTCATGTGTGAGTTTATACGAGGAAAATTTCACTGCGTATGCGTGTAAGGCCCAAGTCGCTTGAAGCTGGAGCGGACATTTTGTGTTGCTGACGCAATGGATATTTCTTCACATTCAACTGGATTTAAGTCGTCACGGACGCATTCTTTGTGAATTTGTACTGTGCACGTTGTATTGTGTTTCGTTGAGGAGGTAACCTTAACCTGAAATTCAACTGTTGGTGTACTTTGACTGTTTCAGTAATTCGGGCCTGGTTTCTACGTTCATTTGTGGCCATTTGCTGGAACTAAATGGTGAACTGGTTGAATTAAACATGGACATTTCTTCGTTTTTTTGAAAAAAAAAAAAAGAGACATCCACTGGATTTTTCCTGAACTTCTGTATTTTCATTTATCGTTGGGTAATAACTCCTCGACGCCCACGCTGTGATTGCTCGTCGCAAAAAAAAAAAAAAAAAAAAAAAAAGGGAAAAAGGGACTGGTTATATGGTTAATTTTTTTTTAAAAAAATGTCCAATTGTTTATTACATTTGTCTTGCTTAGTTACTCACATACAGTAAGTTAAGGCAAGTTGGATTTATTGGTTGCATGATATTGCTGTAATTCATTATTTTGAGGTTCATATTGACTGATTTTGTTGGCCAGACGTGTTGATGACGAGACTGATTTATTTGACCAATCTGCCTGCTTTGAGTTTCCGGCCAGACGGAGAGCGCCAGTGGCAGTGCCGGGGTCAGGAGAGCGCCTGGAGACACAAGTTAAGTCGTTGAAGGAGGAAGTGGAAATGCTGCGGAGGTGCCTGAGTGAGTCTCTGGATCTTCAAAGAGGTATTATTGACCGTTGCACAGAAAACTTGCATGTACCTGATTCTTACCAAGTGCCTTCACAAGTCAGGCCTGTTGCTTCATCTACTCCACATGCTCAAGCACCAGCTGGTCACTTACAGGGGCCTTGGTCCTGTGAAGTAGAAATGAACGTCAGAAACGAAAATGCGTTTGGCCTGGCTCAAAGCTCTCACGATTTGAATAATGCCACCAGAACTTTGGCCTCCGTCTTGCACCAATCGAGACTGGAGCCCCCAGTGTTTGAAAATGATGAGAAGATTCAACCTGATGATTGGCTTATTCTTGTGGATGCCTATAGAACTTCTTTGGCTCTCAACGATGCTCAAATTTTGCTTGAATTACCACGGTTCTTGGCTAAAGAGCCCAGGAAGTGGTTTGCGGTACTGAGTTCACATGTCACATCTTGGACACAGTTCTGCACCCTGTTCAAGACTGTGTTTCTCCCAGCAGATATCCAAGAGCGTGTCTGGAGGGGTATTCTTGACCGTGTACAAGCTCAAGGAGAACCATTTCCAACGTTTGTAGCACACATGTTATCTGAATTCAAGAAACTAAAGTCTCCCCCACCAGAACAGGAGCAGATTGATCTTATCTGCAAGCATGCACTTGAGCGCTACAGAGTTGCACTGTACGGCGCACGTATTACTTCAGTCATAGACCTTGTGATGTGTGCCCATGAGCTGCACTCCGCTCTCGGCCCTGCCAGCCGTAATGAACCAGTACTGCCGAAGAGCAAAAACAAGCAAGAGCCTTATTGTTTCAGATGTTCTGCGCCTGGTTTCACTTCAAGAAACTGTCCGAACTGTAACTTTACACAGCAGACTGTGTCTTTTACAGCCAGGGATATACGGACAAGTCCAGGCTCGAATGAGCCACAGAGCGCTGAGGAAGACACTCAAGCTAGGACATACGAGAACAGGGAGGAGCAAAAGCACAATTCGGTTCGGCAGAAGGTAAACTTCAAAGGGGGGAGGACGTTTCACCGAGGCAATCCTCCCTCCAGAAGATAAATGCGCCTCACCCTTGTCTTATGTCCCCACCTGAGCCGCTTGTCCTCGGCCATGTGGAGGACCGTACTTCTCCTTCATTTTGGAACACACCGTTTATGATCAAGGTCAATCTCTTTCATAAAGCCAGCGACGCAGCACTGGACACCGGTGCCTCACTGTCAGCTGTTCGTACAAATATGATTTCTGATGATTTACGACATTCTCTGAAGGTTCAGCCTTGGACTTTTCCCCCGATTCAGCTCGCCAACGGTGCTGCTTGCACTCCGACTGGTGTTGTGTGGTTGAACATTGGCCTCCAAGGGAAAAAGTTCTACCATCGGTTTGTCATTATCCCTGATCTATCCTCTCCAATCATCTTAGGGATGGATTTTTTGCTGCGGGCGTCAGTCAGCATTCACATACCATCAAGGACGGTGACCCTGGGGGAATCTACACCCCAAGAGGTTCTGAGTGAGTGGTTGGATGAACCTGAGCTCGCGAGTTTAATGTTCTTAAATGTCTGCCCGTCTGCCTTGGATGAGAAAGTTGAGAGCGCTTGTCTGAAAAGGGAAGAAAAAGGGAAATTGTTGGACCTTCTTAAAGACTTTTGGAGCCTGTTTGATGGACACTTGGGGCACACTTCATTGGGGGAGCACGAAATCAACACGGGTGACGCAAAACCAGTTCACCTCCCACCGTACCGGAGCTCACCAGCTAAAAAGCAAATCATTGAAGATCAGATTCAGATGATGCTGGAAGAAGACATCATCGAACCATCTTCCAGTCCATGGGCTGCGCCTGTGGTAATTGTCAAGAAGCCATGTGGAGACCACAGGTTTTGCGTAGACTACAGAGGCCTTAATCAACTAACACGTAAGGATTCGTACCCCCTGCCCAGAGTCGACGAATCATTGGATTTCCTGGCTCGTGGAAAATTTCTTACTACAATTGATTTGGCTCGAGGGTACTGGCAGGTGTCGGTAGAGAAACAGTCAAGGCCAAAGACAGCATTTGCATCACACTGTGGCCTTTTTCAATTCAAAGTCCTTCCTTTTGGGCTTAGTAACGCACCAGCCACTTTTCAGAGAGTAATGAACAATGTCCTTGCTGGATTGGTATACAAGTGCTGTGCAGTGTATTTAGATGATATTGTCATCGTGTCCCCAACCTTTGAACAACACTTGCAAGACCTCCGGGAAGTCCTTTCTAGACTTGAGTCAGCTGGTCTTACTCTCAAGCTAAATAAGTGTCAGTTCTGCTTGAGTGAGCTCATCTTCCTAGGATACAAGGTCACTCAGGATGGTATTTCTCCTGATCCGAGGAAAGTGGAGGCGGTCACAGAGTTCAGAACGCCGACAGACGTGAAACAAGTGAGAGGATTTCTCGGCCTCACAAGCTATTACAGACGGTTCATTCCAAATTATGCTCAAAAAGCTGAGTCACTTTTTAAACTCACAAGAAAGGAAACTCCATTCACCTGGGACAACAGTTGTCAAGCTTCAATGGATTACTTGAAAAACTGCCTAACGTCTGAACCCATTCTGTGCCTTCCGGATTTCACACGCCCATTCTCCATCCACACTGACGCTTGTGACTTGGGCCTTGGTGCGGCCTTGATGCAGAAGGATGACATGGGGCGAGATGTGGTGGTAGCTTTCGGGAGCAGGACGTTGCACAAAGCGGAAAGACCCTACTCAACACCTGAGAAGGAGTGTTTGGGAGTGATTTGGGCTCTGGAACATTTCAGACCTTACATCGAGGGCCTTCAAGTAACCATTTATACAGACCACAACAGCCTGAGGTGGCTAATGAACCGTCCCAACCCCTCTGGACGACTGGCGAGATGGTCCTTGCGCCTACAAGATTTTGATTTTAATATTGTCCACAGGCCAGGAGTTCAGAATAAAGTTCCAGACGCTCTATCACGCAACCCACTGCCGCATTGTGAGGGCCCTATTGACATTCTTCCTCCGCATGCAGTCATCGCTGGGTTGGATCTGCGCAGTCTCTCCTCAGTCCCGATAACAGACAGAGAACAGTTGACGCAGTTACAAAAAGGCGACCCAGTGGTTGGAAATCTTCTTCGAAACCTTGAAATGGGCGGTACGGACGAAGAACATGTCATCCATGATGGTCTGCTCTATTTCAAGGACCCTAAGATAACCTGCAGTCTCCACCCAATGAAGCAGCTTAAGTTATATGTCCCAACACTAATTCGATCCACTGTACTCAGATATTTTCATGACCATCCTACAGCTGGACACCTGGGGATGACAAAAACGCTGGCCAGGCTGAAACAAAGGTTCTTTTGGCCCAAAATGGGGACAGATGTGAAAAGATACGTTATATCTTGTCCTGTGTGCCAGTTGACGAAGACGAGCCAAAGAAAACCAGCAGGGCTGATGATTCCGATCAGGCCAATGAAACCCTGGGAATACACAGGAGTGGATTTTGTTGGTCCGCTTCCACGTACTCAGAGTGGCAATGAACATTTGATTGTCTTTGTTGATTACTTTTCGAAATGGGTGGAAGTGTGTGCAGTGCGGTCAGCGACAGCTCAAGTGGCAGCGAGCAAGTTTTTGAGTGAGATATTTGCTCGACATGGTGCACCAACCTACCTCATATCGGATCGTGGGACACCGTTTGTGAGCAATCTTTTTGAGCATGTGCTTGGGGTCCTTGGTACTGAACACCGGCTGACAACTGCGTACCACCCACAACCGAAGGCCACTGAGAGGATAAACCGCACACTTAAGACTGCCATACGTGCTTACGTGGAGGACAAGCACACTTCGTGGGATAAATATCTTCCACAGCTCTGTTTTGCTCTTCGAACTGCTTGCCATGAGAGCACGGGTCATTCGCCGGCAATGTTGTTATATGGCCGTGAGTTGGACACGCCACTTGACTTGATAACACAGCCAAATTCTGCGGGAGTAGATGATCCTGGGGTACCCTATCCTGAGAGTTTGAGATGTTCCCTGCAGGATGCTCACGATCATGCCAGAGCTGCTCTAAGTGCAAGCCATTCAAAAAAGAAGCGCTATTATGACAAGAAGCGACGCTCTGTTTCCTATGCTGTGGATGACTTGGTCAGGGTTAAAACCCACCCCAAATCTGATGCTGGTGCAAACTTTACAGCCAAGTTAGCCCCAGTTTATGCCGGACCATTTCGCATCTCTAAGAAACTTTCAAGTGTTAATTACAGACTTGCGAACGTGGACACTGGAGAAGATGCTGGCGTGTTTCATGTAGTAAATCTGCAGCCTTTTCATTCATGGGACACGGCCGTGCCCACAACAAGTTCCTATGCTGATGTTGGGATATCACTACCTTTGGGTGAGGACTTTGATTATCAAACAGGCAGTGAGGAGTCGGGTAATGCTGACCAGAGTGTTGGTATTGACTACTCAAACGAATCTTTGTATCGACACTCAGATGAAAATTCGCCGGAATGTTGTACTGGACACTCACTTGACCTTACTCCTGACATTATTGACGGGGTGGGGGTTTCTGACTCTCATGACTTGACATCTGAAGCAGTTACTGCAGAACCCGCAAATCAGGGTCTGAGTCGTTATGCGCTGAGACCAAGAAGAGTCCCTAGGGTTACTTCTGACTGGACGGTGAATAAGTGGACTAATCCCTACCATGTTAAAAGGTTTGACTTAGATTAAGGATGACAGGCTGCATTAGACTGTTGTTCTAGAGTGTTAATTGTTATTGTTCCTGTGTGTTCGGGGGTCTCAGGGAAGGAAAATTGAGCGTTTCATTTTTGGGTCGTGATCAGACTTTTCTCATGTGTTACTGAACTAAAGTAAACTGTGCTAACATGTATGTTCGTACTGTTTGTACTTTATCTATCCCTATGTCTTGTTAACTTTTCAAATCAGTCATGTATGAGTGGTTGTTAAGTAGAAGTCTTCCTTTGCTGTGTACGGCTGAGGACAGCCTTTTTTTGGCCGGGGGAAATTTGTAACGAGTAGAAATATGGTGTGACCCCTTTAAGAATCTGTGACGGGTGATAATAGGGTGTGGCCCCTTGAAGAGCTACGCGCTCCTGTTAGAGAGTCGGCATTATTGGTATTCTATGTGATATATGCCGTGTGCCTCGAACACCCCCATGTGTGTAATTTCTGTTTGATGCCGACTTTTATATTACTTTTACTTTGCTTGTTAAGTAACGATGTGGATGGGAGGACGTGCAACAGATAGTTATATGCACGAGTTCGATGTGGAATAAAGCACGAGTTTTGAGATGCATGTCGACTCCGTGAAATCTGTCTGGCCTCCGCACGTAATATCTTCAGTCGTGAGTTATCCATCTCCTTCTTCCTGAAGCAGCGCGTTACAATCTGTTCATTATTTTTATGGGGGAGAATGATGTGTGTAACGGGGTTGAAGGATTACTGAGGTACGGAACTAAATAATGTGATTTTAATGATTAATCATGAAAAGCACAGATAGATATTCATGGGAATAGCAAAATGTATGGACTTTTTTTCTAATTGTATTATTCATATTCCAAGTACACTTTCATAGAAGGCCATGAGGGACATGACAAAATAGGTGGTGTCAACTGAAAAAACAAGAATAATTTATAATATAAAGATAAAATGTTTGTCATTGTTTTTTAAAACTCTATTAAAAGGAGACATTTCAACTGACACAAAAAGCTTTTTAATAATAGATTTTGGTGACCCAATAGGTAAAATACACTTAAAAAGGTCAGAGGGACTCAAATCGTACCGGTTTCGTGAATGACTCCCGTTCTTCTAGTGAATGCGAAGGGTCCTTCTCAATACTCAATGGATACTTTCTCGTTTCCTCACACCTCCATCCTACAGCCTGCTGTGTTACAATCCGGTGTTACAATGCATTCGGTTCCTACGGTACGATATTGGTTCCACTGGGTGGCGCATGAGTGAATAAAGTTGTTTCCCTTATTTATTACCACTGTCTATGTTTATTACTCGGATAAATAGGTAACAAGGATAGGCTACAGCAAGAGCAAATATGAGAGAATAACCTAAGGTACTAGTCCGGCTAATACATTTTAAATTGGTCTCTTTGATGTTCTTGGGCCTTTTTTAAACTTGTGAGACTTTAAAATACATTTGAATAGTTTGGCTTGAAAACAAAGATAAATAAACCTCCACAAATATATCTGCCAAATCAAATGCATGTAAGCTACCCCTGATGTGATTAATTATTCTGTCATCCATAAATTTCTTGCTC